TTTAATTCTCATTCTAATTCATGTCTTAACCAAACAGATTATGGGAATGAATCATTCCGATTCCGATTCAGATTCCGACTACAAACCAAACATATCCTTAATTCCATCAACCACCTATTAATTCTTCTTATGAGAATTGAGAATGACACACCCTTTCCTTCAAATCGATGATTACATCTCTCTTTCCATATCAAACAATTTTGGTTGTTTTTTGGTCTTGAGATGATGATATACGGTCTTGCTGGCCTGCAAATCATGTTACAGGATTGATGGTTGAGAGATTGAGCAGGCACCAAGTTTTTATAGGGAACTGTAATAAATCAATTCGCAGAAAGTGATCGTAGGGTTTCCCTAGGGTTAGGGATGACTTAAGTCTGCTTTCTCGTAATAGGGGTGGTGGTGAGCGACGTTTTTGTTCAAATAAATTAGACATAATGTACTAAGGCAAAGGGACCATGAATGGCAAATTTGGGTTTTTAAAACGATGTGAACGGATGGAGTGCTAACAGGGAGGAGGTTTTTGTTTGATGACATCACCCGAATTGGAGTTAGAAAAGACCCCACCAAATCAAAATGAATTATTATTAAGGCTGTATTTGGTTTGAAGGAAAAAGTAAGGAAAGGTAGGGAAATCTATATAAAAGTTTGTATAGATTTTTCTACCTTTTCCTACTTTTTTCCTTCAAACCAAACATATAACCTTATAGAAGTCACTTCTCATCAATTTATATTTCAAATGCACATGCATCATCATCATTATCATCTAAACCTTATCCTAACTGTATGAGGTAGACTTTATGAATCTTTATCTAGCATTCAGTAAATGAAACCTTAAATAGATAATCATTATTTCAACTGATGTCCTTTTTGGTCTGCATGTCACCATCCATTCTTCTTCCTTCAACCTATAAATTCATATATTTATATACAAGAACTATGAAAAGTTAGGGCTGCAACATGGGCGGGATCGGATTGAGGTTTTAGCAAAACTTCAATGGGCCAGTCCAAAGGCCCGAGGTTGAAGTAGTGTAAAATGCCACCTCAGACCAACTTGACTTGCACCCCTAATTATAATTATAAGTTTATCACACCATGTTCTGGTGAAAAAAATTAGTAAATAAATGGAAATTTTGGATTTTATTCATTTAATAACAACACATTTTAACTTGGAGGCCTTTTCCAACTCCTATCATAGTCCAATTTCCTCCCTTCGTCGGGTTCATTGGGTTCGCATTAGGCCGGCCCAAATAATGAGATTGTCGAAAAAATACCCCTATTTTTCTCATAAATAACAAGAAAGTTACTCACAGTTTGCATGCTTCCCATGTCAAAGCGTACAAGGTGGTCTCCTGCAATGCAAAATGCCAAAACGATAAGAAAGATATTATATTGTACACATTTGTATTTATACTCCTTGCAAATTGAGACTTCACAAATAAATAAATAAATTCTTTACACTTTTACATTTTCCACTTAAGGTTTAGCTGAACGCTTTAGCTGTTTAACAAGCTCTGGAACCAATGATAAGGTTTCACACCATTGTTAAATACATAGGACCCACAACTTTTACGGTGGAGCTCATGAATTTAATAATGGCGTAAGATCTCATCATTGGTTCCACAGGCCACTGAACAGCTAAAGCATTCAACTAATCCGAATTCCAATCCCTCTCCCTCTCCTTCCTCTTGGTACTAAATCCCTCGAAGAACATTTGGTGTTTAGAGAGTTGTTTGGTTTTTGCTTTTAGGATTTTCTCTGAATGTTCGATTGATTATGAGCTTCACCAATAGTTTATATCAAAGAATTAAATATGACCGCTTTGAGAACCCTTTCTCTTTGCCCTTATAGGCTTTCATGTCAACCAAACCTCAGAATATGGCTGTTCATAATAAGACCCAAACTGACCAACCCGGTCTGATCTAATCCAAGTTGGCCGATTTTTCTTTAGCACCGGTCGGTTTTGGGTTACAAAAAAACATAAACCGACCCAAACTGATTTAGATATATTTCAGATATTATATATATATATATATATATATATATATATATATATATATCAGTTTTATTTCGGAAATATACATATTATATATAAAATTTCAGCTTTAATCCATCAAATCATTTTTAATTTCTAGGCATCTAACCTTCGCTTCTTAGACTTGAATCCTTTACCGTTCACACCGAGAGAATCATTCAGCTTTAATCCATCAAATCATTTTTAATTTCTAGGCATCTAGCCTTCGCTTCTTAGACTTGGATCTTTTACCATTCACACCGAGAAAATCATTCACAAAACCAATATAAATCGACCCAAACCGACTCAAATCGATCAGGTTGGTTTTATTTAGTATAAGGTCGATTTCGGTTTCATTTCTAGGTAAACTGATAAGATTGGGTCGGTTGGAAAAATGCTAATAAACCGACCCAAGTCGACCCACGAACAACCCTACCTCAAAAGACATTCAAAATCTATTTTAAACCTCTGGACTTTTATTAGTTGTACTTTGGCTCCAAATCTATTATAAAGTTCAAACTTTTATGGAACATGTTGAAATACAAAAAGAGGCATTGGTCCACTGCTATGGTTTAGTCTTTAAGGAAGAAGACGATTAATAATGTCTTCTTCCGAAAGAAAGACTACAACGATCATTGTTTTCTTCCAAAGAATGATTTTGGAATCTTGAAATGTTTCAAATCACACACGTGTGTTAAATAAAAGAAGGGTAAATTTCTGAAGTTTAGCTAATTGATTAAGTGCACCCTTAAAAATTGACTAAGGCTATCCCTGTTGTTTCTGATAATTGATTAATACTTTTCTTACCGTTAGCAAAAAAATAATATTTTGCTATTTATTTTTCTTCAAATTTTCAAAATAAAACCTTCACTCTCCATTACTTCTAAACATGTTCAACAACCCAAATTCAATCCCTTAAGGTCTATAATTCTCATTGTTGATTTTTTCGTTTCTTCTCTTATTTTGCTGAATTATCAATTCTACCATGTAATCGAGAGCCCCTTTTGGTTCAATTGCCGGCACTTAATAGCATCTCTAAAAAGCTCATTAACGACAGCCATGAAATCAAACGATCAAATGAAAAAAATAAGTTGATGATTCCCATGAAACATCAAAAGAAGAGTATTATTATGGGCAATAAATCAAGTTGAAAATCCTAACTAAAAAACGGGGAAACCACAGCTTGTCTGGGTGGGCTCCGAAGACTACCGAATGGTGGTGTGTGTAGGCGGGCGGAGATCTCTGCAGCCCTCCCCCTCCTTTTCTCTACTTTAGAAATCTAATCCTTTCAGATTGCCTGTACGAGCACCAGTTTGGTTTTACGGACGAGAATGTAGAGGGCCTGCCGTTCATGAGCGAATGTTGTTAGGTGCCGGAGCCAGATGTTAACGGGCATAGATCAGGAGCGAATGTTGTTAGGCATCAACAGAGAAGACAAGAGGCTATCGTTCATGCGCAACCCAAAGCTCCTGCCCATCAGAGCCATCCAGTACCCGAAAGTCGCCGGCCTCAACCGCCGGCCGCTGCACCAATAAAGCCTTCTTCTCCTCATTCCCTTGTTCATAAGCAAGATACAATCTTAGGAAAGCCTTTCGAAGATATTAAAGCTCGTTACACGCTCGGAAAGGAACTGGGTAGAGATCAGTTTGGTTTGATGGACGAGAATGAAGAGGGTCTCAAATGTTTGTGGGGTGGGTTTCAAAGGAATCTCGGTCTCCCTATAAAACCCAGACCCTTTTGAACCTTTGTCTGAAATCTCACCACTTTTTTTCTGGAGATGCTCGACGCTCTCCGATTCTTTCCTTGCGTTCAATCTCTACCGAATGGGAAAGACCTGAGAGGAACAAAAAAGGCAGCTGTACTCGTAACCCTTCTCTTCTTCCCCCTCGGTGCACTCGTAAGGGAACATCATAAAGGCAGTTGCAACTACCGAACGGCGGAGCAGGCGTAGGCGGGTGGAGATCTCTGCCGCCCTCCCCCTCCTTTTCTCTACTTTAGAAATCCGATCCTTTCAGATTGCCCATCCGAGCGCCGGTTTGGTTTGAACGAGAATGCGGAGGGTACTTTGGGTATTATATCAAATACGTGAAGGTACGTGTAAACGGTATTTGACAGAGAGTTAAGGATAAGGGTAGAACTAAACAAATTGTTAGAATCAGTAAAAGTAATGATAGTCAATTTTTAAACAATAAAAATACACTCAGTCAATTAGCTAAACCAAATTTATCCATAAATGAAATGCTAACAAAGTGGTATAATTTTCAAAAATTCAGATAACAATGGCACATTTCAAAATTCAGGCACCAGTGCACCACCAAACACAGGGTACTATATAATCTGCAATTTATATATCCAAAATAAAATTAATACTCTCTTTAGCTCCTTTTCATTATTGCTTTTATATTTTTATGAACCTCTGAATATTTAATTTCTCATTGGCATAATTTTATCTTGGATCAGAAATTCCCACAAAATTCTATACTCTAGTATTTGAATTTGAAGTGATGAAACTGATCTGGTGTAGGCACGTCCCATTACAATAATGATAAACCAGGAAGTGGCCAGTGATAAGACAAGAGATACCTTTGTCTAGCTATAATATTAATATGAAGAAAAGACGGTGCATAGTGGTAATTTTGTCTTTTAGAACAAGTGCTTTTGGAAGAATCAGGGCGTGAGCACAATCCGTAAAAATGGGATATGGTCATATGGGCGAATTTCCATCTACAAATATATATATATATATATATATATGTAAGTTATTGGAGAAGGCATCCATTGATTGATGATGGAATATGGAAAGGAAATCTTTAATTTGGATCCGTCTACGATGTGTGCTGCAGAAGGTGCCAATAGAAATTTGAGGGCATTTTAGAAAAAACCAGAGTGGGTTAAATGCGGTGATGTCCAGTATGAATAAATGTACCCACTAGAGATCAGGAAAATAATGTAAACTAGCTTAAATTCCATCTAATTGTTGATAAATTAATCTTCAGTTTCCCCCTCCAGAGCGAGAAAATAATGATATTTTTTCTAATAACTAAAATCATTTTGCTGTACCACCATCTTCATTAATACACATAAATGTTAATTAATGACATGAATATATATGGGATCTTCAGCTATATATATATATATATCTTCTTGTAGTCGTACTCTCCAAGATCTCCAGGGAGAGCACATACAATCTCTCATCTCTACTCTCTAGGGAGTGAAAATTCTTTGCCCAGGCGACAGTATTGCTTTGGGGTCGAATTTGTTTTTCCAGGCTTTGAAAGTTTCCCATTTAGGCCCCAAGTGATTGACCCACTCTGCCTTACTTCTGTAGTGAGGAAGATATTGCTTAACCTTGATGCCAGCCTTCTCACAAAACATTAATATCTCTTTGTTTTGATTCTCCAGATATTCCCAGTCATGCATCCCACTTGATTGCAGAAGTCCCACTGAATAGAAGATATCGTCGACGTCGTCTGGAATCACTGCAGACATCCTATCATCCCACCTGCACAATATTATAATAAATCTCCCTCATTAATCAATATTTATTGCTATATACATTGTTCTTATATAGCTCTACCAGTGCGCTATCAGTTTTACTTACTTGCTTCGATTCATGGGATAGACAAGGATAGGCCCAGAAGTCTTATTTTGTTTTTTAAGGATGCCCCTGAAAACACCGGAGTCGAAGTCGAAGATTCGAGATCTGGGCACAAAGAGATTAAGCCATGGATGAGGAACATCCCACAGTCCCTGTGATTGAAGCTTTAATTCTCCGCTCCGAACTCTGTTTAAGAAATCCACGTAGGAAACATCTTTTGCGAAGATCAATCCAGGAATAAAGCTCAACCCTTTGAGTAAGGATTCTAGTTCCTGCCAGCAGAGAAATTAAAGAAGTTGAAGTTACTGGATTAGTAGTTAAATTAATAATATATAGAATTAAAGTTATATAGCCAACAAAATTAATGCATGCGTACCCCATCAACCCCATCCGCAGTGAGATCATCGTAGTACTTTGCTACTTCTAAGCTGTAAAGGATGCCATATTGGTTTGCTAAGGAAGCTATTCTGGAATGGTCGGCCGAGGAGAAGAAGGAAGACCTCCAATTATTAGCAGGACTTTGGGGCATAACCAGAGAACCTTCCACATAATCCAGCCCCTTAATACCTCCATGGATTGAGATCAGATGTTCTTGGTCTCTTGTGAAAGCAGAGAAATCATGATACAGCATGCGTACCCACCTCACCTACACAAACCAAATTTAACATCAGGATGAACAAAAAAGAAAGAAATAATTAATGCAATGGAGAATCTGGCAAAACGTACTAACAAAAGGTGTTGTTGAAGTCTGTGGGGAAACAAAAAATAAAGCAGGGAAGAGAAGAACAAGGACAGAGTGTCTATCTACTGCAAAAAGAAGAAAGAGAAATGACTAGGATGTGTACGAAATGAAGGAAAAGTGCAGGAGCTGGAGAACATTTGAAGTAGAGATCGACTTCTGGTGCAAAGTACAGACAGAAGATATACAGGGTGGCCATGTGGACTTCATGCCATCAAACCCATTAATTATCTCATTATCCGTGTTTTGTGGGCCGGCATAAGGCTTCCCAATTATACTACGAATACAGTTTATACAGCTCTAAGTACATACCTTGGTTGGGGCCAGCTCCAAGGCTATCCTTGCTCTAGTGATGATCCCAAACTGGCCAAGACCCCCCAGTACTGCATAAAATAGCTCTGAGTTTGTGTTTCTGGAGCATCTCACTAGCTCTCCTCTTCCTGCATCAAAACAAACCATACTTCATGTGTTCAGAGTGCATGTCTGCATGGTAAACAATAGAAAGATATATTATCATTATTATACCATAGATGAGAACGAATAAAATGTGACGCACATTTAATTAGCTGGCCCGAATCTACCAAGGTCCCACCTAGAAGAACATCTTCATGAGAGCGGAAAGTTGATTCTTTAAGATAAGGAATAAGGATGTCTGTAGTTCTGTACTGCGCAAGCATATTAGAATATTATTATTTGTTATAATATGATGTTCGTGATAGACTAGTCCACCCTTCCCGTCCAAGAGAAGAGAATTCTTATGATAAGCTATTATTTATTTATTTATTTATTTACTTTGATTCTCCAGCGAATCATTTTTCGCCTTTCTTTTATTATTATTTTTTTTCCTTGTGACCAATGGATACGTGTGCCTCCACGTTAAAAGGAAGCATACAAACTGGAGAAGACAAGCCCCTCGAATATTCAAGTAGGGTTGTCTATGGGTCGGTCGGATCGGTGGGGAACCAGACCAGCCCATCTGTTTGATCATTCGAACGATCGGGGAAAACCCAGCTACAGAGACTAGGAGAGAGAGAGTACAAATGCTGCCCACGTTCAAGCTCTAACTATTTCTTCTTCGCTTGATTTTTCCCTCTTTTTAAGAGCTATTTCTTTCTCGTCCACTCAGGGGGGTGCGGACACACCTGAGAGAGAGAGAGAGAGAGAGATAGAGAGAGAGAGATGTACCAGTAATGACGTCCATCTCGAACACATTGCTGATCTGGGGGCCATGGCGAAAGGATTGCCCACTTATACCGGCATTAGAGAGGGTCCCTCCCACTGTGAGATACAAATAATCGGTCCACGATCTTGGTGCAAGACCATGCTCGAGGGTGGCAAGCAACACATCGATCCAAAGCTGCTCGCCGCCAACGTCGGCGTACCAACCCAACGACGAGCTCCGAGCAACATTAATCCGATTGCCGTTGCTATCGTTGTTCAAAGATCTCATGTCCACAACTACACCATTGTGTGCCATGGCTTGCCCACGGACAGAGTGACCCCTGCCCCTGGCAGCTATGCTGAAAGGAACCGAAGAACTAAAGGAGAATCTTATCAGTGCCACAATATCGTCCGGAGACAAGGGATAGAGAACAGCAGCTGGAATGACTCGGGTAAGTTTACCAAAATCAGTGGACGCCAAACTAATTGCCGCAGGGTCGATATGAAGCCGAGTGGCGAGGTCGAGAGACAGAAGCTCTGGTGGCAGTAAACTAGTCCAGGGCCTTCGTTTCCCTATGATCGACATTAAACGGCTCAAAACAAATAGCAGAACGAAAGAGAATGGAATTGAACCAGTACTCTTATCCATGACAGAGTAACTAATTAAGTGATGCGTGCCTGTGTCTGTGGGAAGAGATATCGAGGAAGAGAGACAAAGAGGGAGAAGAGAGAGAGGAGATAAGTAAGGTGGTGGTGGTGGTGGTAGTGGTGATATAGAATAGACGGGAGGGTGGGGGTATTTATTATGAAGAGGTTGCATGAGAAGGAGGACGGACGAAATCTTGGGTTGCAGAGAGGAAATCTGAGCATCTGGTTCACATACGACGTCGCGGCCTAACATGTTGTGTTTTTCCAAAGATACGGAAGGACGAGACTCGGGATCATATCCATCAAACGACACATGACTCTCATGACAAATGTCTTAAAAAATTTTCTACACGGTATGCGTGTTTTTAAACTTTTCAATATCGTGGCAAAGATTCGGAACACCCACAGATTTTGCATTATATCCCCCATCTAGCCAATTTTCTTTGGTGGGTCCATGTGCTGAAATTTTGGAATCACCACCGTCCATACTGGGCAAGGACGGTGGAGATGGAACAAAAACTATTTGCCAGTTGGCACTTGGCTGCCCGCCACCGTCTTACTTTTCCGTAAACGTAACTGTCGTGACGAAGAAAGTGGTAGCTTGTGAACTTAGAAATGTCTTTTTAACCCAAGGATGAGTAGAGTGTTGAGTCATCAAAGTTTGGTGGTATTCGAGCCCGAAGCAGAAGCTGTTGGGGTCTTACTACAAAGAATGCAAGAGCAACTGAGCAAGAAGACTTTTCAGAGATTTATCTTTTTCTTGTTATTCGGTCGTATTTGATGATTTGGCAAGATATTCCCTGCGACTGCGAGGGAGCGTCGATCAACCAAGACCAAGAGCTGGTCGTCGTCGTCGCAACTTCCGAGATCGATACACAGCTTAGAATGTTCGCATGGGAAGACAATGCTGGGATTTTGTTCGTTTGAAGATCTCATGAAACGTCAAATTCGCAGTAAATTACGACGGTCCATGTTGTTGAAAATCTCAATCTCTTGAGTTGAAAGTTGAAACTCAAGCCCCACTCCATCTTTCTATGGTCTAACAAAAGTAATTGAGTTGTCTTTGATATGAATAAGCCCTTTTTAACGCTTTTAAAAGATTTGATTGACTTTGCCAAATTACTGCTACTGATAGAATCTGCAGCAGCAAGGATTCTGAGTGCAGATCATACATAATTACCAATATAAAAAGAAAATATTCATAGGTTATAGACATTGCTCTTTGAAAAAGAAATGAGGATCAATTTAGTTTGGAGTTATTGGAATAGGAATTATAATAAGTTGGAATGTCATTTCAAAAGGAGGGTAAGGGAGTGGTCATTTTCTTGAATAAAAATGTCATTGCACCGGGAATGGAAATGAAATTCTAAGTCAATTCAATTGAACACTTGAAATTGAAATAACCCATTTTGATTCCAGTTCCAGATCCCTATTCCTATAATCCAAAAGGGCCGGTTTCTGAATAATGATGTCCACTACCAACTTGGACAGCACATCTGCCTTGATTTGGTCTTTTCCCTTGTTGCATTAGCTTTGTCCTTCCGCTAATACCTACCAAACTCAGGCCAGATTGAGCTGATGCTGATCAAAAAGCTATATTATTCTCCACTTTCATCTTATAATAATTTAGGCTATATTTGATTTGAAGGAAAAAGTTAGGGAAAGGTAAGAAAACCTTTACAAACCTTGTATAGGTTTCCTTGCCTTTCCCTTCCTTTCTCTACTTTTTCATTCAAACCAACCACAGTCTTAGGTTCTCACTCCTGATTCCTGGAATGCTTAAGGAATAAGGGTTAAGAAAATTGCATATTAACGTTGTAATTAATTTAATAATTTATTAATCCCCGTGCTGCTAGAATGCATATATATATATATATATAATATAATATAATAAAGAATTGTACAAACAATTTAATTTTCTAATGAGATGCTTGGCTTAACCTAGAAGAATTTTTATTCTTTAAGCCCCTCCCGCAGGTTCCAACAAAGATTTAATATCAAGTAGACCTATTCATGGGCCGGGCTTTTACTCTTCATTAATGGAAATATGTTAGGCCCAAGCCCGAGCCCGACCCGACCAACGGGCCTACAACTTAGGCTTGAGCCCGGTCCTGATAAAAAGCCCGAAGCCCGACCTAATAAAAAAATTAGAATTTTTCTCTATTCAATAATCAATATAAATTAGAATTTATTTATATTAAAAAAAGAATATAAATTCAAAATTTATTTACATTAAAAAAGAATATAAAGAAGGGAAAATTGATGTGGAGAAGAAGGGTTCGGCTAGAAAAATAAGGGAAAGAGTTGAAAAAAAGAGGAGTATTCGACTAGGGTTTTTAGGTTTAATTATAGGTTGAACCGGGTCGAGTTTTTTAGCCCGAGGTTAAACCTACGGACCTATATATACCTGTTCAAGCCTGTCCGGGGCCGGCCGGTCGGACCACCTGACCCATGAACAGGTCTAATATCAAGTAACAATTATTATATCCGTTCAATAATAGAAAATCTTTGACCCTTGCGGTATCGTAGGTAGGGCCCAAAAAAAGCATGTGCATCATGCTTCATGATATTCCATGGATTTATATGCACCAAATCATATAATATTCCATATGTATCATTTGAGCAACCGGGTTTAATTAGGCCAAATTCTTCCCTCACATTAGATCCTCGATGTGGCCTGCAGATTCCATGGTGGGCCTCTGACAGCCATTAGATTGGAATGAGTGGCTAACTCACGAAATATTTTATTTAACAAATTAACTTTCACTCAATATATTAATCTAAATGTTATGGCCGTTTGGTTTGCAAGAATATGAATTCGATTTTAATTCTTTGATCGGGTGGAATTGAAATCCCATTTCATTTTTAGTGGAATGACATTTTCTTATTGGAGGGAATGACCATCCTCTCTTACTTTATTGATAATAAAATTTCATTCCAATTAATTCCAGTTCTCCTTTTTGAAGCACGACTATGAAAATAAATCACTTCAATACCGATTTCATCGACAAACCAAACGGATAAGCCTAGGATAAAAGCATATCTTCTTTTTATAAAGTAGACAACGGCATACCTAGTCACGTGTATAAACAGCGATAGTTAGGCACTGAGAGGCTGTTTATATGGAGTCAGGTTTTATGCGCTTTACGCCTTTATGTGTATATTATGTGTATGAGAGAGAGAGAGAGACTGTGGTTGTGGCTCAGTGGCTGTGTCATTATCTTTGTTAAGTTTCATAAGGTGTTAGGTCCCCAAACGCCGTGCAATCACATATTGGTGGGGTGGGGGGGACTAATCGAAGATACGGGAGATCTTAGTGGGAATTCGAGCCATTACTCCACCGGATCACGTGGCTGAAGCAACAACACATCTCAAGTAATCAACTAGTTGGTGGGTCTCATCTCACAATCACAGCCGTCCACTCACTCACTATATGCGGCTCTGATGAAAAGAAAGTATGAAACTAAAGCAGTTTTTCATATTAATAAGTCTGGAGTGAGAAAGTAGTAATGATATTGGAAGACCAACCAGGCCATTAGCATAAATGGAATTTAGTCGAGACCAATTGCAACTGTTACTTGTAAGTGAATCGTAAGAGACACCGTTTAGCACGTGCGCTTATCCTGTCGGTACAATAGGAGGGTTCTCCATGTACAATGGATGATGGGATGGATGATTCTTCATTCTCACAAGATCAATCAATCACTGTGTTGAACGGTAGGTAGGTACTGTGTCAGTGTCTCAGGTCCCACCCCACGAAGAGGATTGCTTTCTGAACAACGCTTTGGCTAGCTGAGCCCGTTGGAACTCGGAAGGTCGGAAGCTCCCCACTCTCCACTCTCCACTCTGGTACTGGTAGTGCTTGCCGAATGCTGCTGTGACAGCTAGGCTTAGGAGGCGCCCCACACGCGGCGAGTTAGGCCAAAGCCAATAAGATCTTAAGTTTGTATTTAAAATGTCATTATTAGTTTGGATTTATCGGCATTTGGATGTAGTATATACATTATTGGTGTAAAATGTTATATAAAATTTATATTGTAAATCGATGTAAAACATCACTTATAATCAATAACAAAATTGATTATAGTGAGGTTTAAAATCGATAATCAGTGTCAAAACTGCATTAATAAAATCGATATAGTATTACATCGATAATCATCTTTTTCGATGCTTACTTTAAAAATTTTCAAGCAGTTCAACGTAAAACTCCATTATCAATCAAATTTACACCGCAAACAAATATAACCTAAATGTAAATGAACCACCAACCTAGATTGGCCTTTTCTGTTGTTCTATTTCCATGCGTATCAATTATCAAAACTTGTAAGATTTTCTTCCTTGTTGATAACAGAAAGTACTTAGATGCTTTGGACCCTGTCCTTATTGATTAGGTCATGCCATGCCATCCAAAGATTTCTTGTTCTTATCTACCCTCAACCATATATACCCTCATTTCTTGCTGTCAACTATCAACAGTCAATACCATTTTCTTTCATGATCAAGGGCTACCCGAATTCATGATATAATACTGCATTAGTTAATTACATCGTTGACAGATAATTGCAAGGACAATGGGATGAAGTTCGGTGTGGCTAATTGAAACAAACAAACAAACGGTTATTATATATAGTTGACTGCTACAAGCGACCTATGTGCCTTACTCTACTTTTCTTCCCAGGTTAAGCCCTTATTCAGTGTGCATGGGTCCTTCACGGACCAAAACAATTTAAGCAGCTTAATCTTCTGATGGTTTACAACTTACAACACTAAGCCCAAGCTTAGACCGCTTTGCTTTTGTGTGATAAGACCATGTTAATAGTAAGTAGGTTGAAGATAAAAAAATTTGTGCAAGACCAAATTATTAACAGATCTGATGGTGACATTTTCCATAGACTCATTCAACCAATCGTCTTCATTGTCATCATCCAAACCTTCTCCTTGTTGCAACTATATTTGATTGGTTACCACGTTTACGATATTAATTGATTAGTCAAAAAAAATTTAAGATATCATAGTCAAACCCTGTTTAAATTAATGCATCAATATCTTTGTCTTCCAAATCAACAAAGTTCTGACAATTGGATAACGCCCAAATATGTACTGGGACAGGCATATCATCTT